TTACAATGTAAAAATCAAAACATCAAGAGGCAGAGGAAGACCGGGAAGAAGATGGATTGAAGAAGTCACTGACACCTTGAAACTGCATAATGGCATGGCATATCAAGTGACTGAGCGCTCCCTGGCTCGGCTTCTGATCGTCTGGTGAACTGTGACGCTTAGCGGCATAAGCAGCAGATATTGAGAAAAAAGAAGAAGATTACTGCTTCAGTTAGGCATCAGCTATAATCTGCTGGGACTGAAAGAGTTCTCAAAGGAAATGAATGGATGCAACTGCCTACAGCTTCAAGCATCAGCATCAGGGTTTGTTTAATCACTGATAAAAGACATGTGGGAGCCACCCATTGTTACAGCAACCAGAATGCGAGTTGTTGGACTAAAAACACTTGGAGACGCTCTCAGGAGGAGATTAGAGCACTTATGGTCATGTCTGACGTGCCATTAAGATGATCTCGAAAAGGAACAGTGAACAATGACAAAAGATGTAGAGAACGATTCCTGCAATAGTTGAGACTTTGATCAAAGCGCCGATTAATGAGAACACATGCCAGTCAGTATGCACTGGATTGAAAATTGTTCCTCCCTACGATTAATGACAGAAATGGTTTATGCTGATGGTGATCAATGAGAACACAGATGAATATGGTACTCTTTTTTACAAGGATGTTTCAGTCACCCTAGCGGCATCCGTGGCTGCGGCATTGCGAGTCCGACTCGTAATTGCAACGTACCACCATCGAAATCCACTGCTGGCTGCATGGATTTTAATCATGATATGGGGCGTCGCAGCCTAAAATGGGTACCAGGATGGCTGTCCTAGGGAAGTGAAGACGGCCGGTGTAATGCTGACCACATTACCCACCCAGTGCCGATTAGGTCTGTAAAAATATGGTACGCTCTTCCCATATTCCGGATGTGCCTAAGGCGTGAAAATGGATTTTTATTTTACTTTTTCTTTATCAGTCACCCTGGAGGGCAGATGAAGTGCATGGGCTTTCAGTGTGAGTGTAGAGAAATAACATCAAAGAGATGAGTGGTGCCTTTGCTGCTACAACCAGCAGACTTACAATGAAGACCATGGCTGCAAAAGTGCATTGGCAGGGTTAGGGAATTCAAGAATTCACACATGCATGCATAATGAGTCCCCTCAATAAACATGCTCAAGACAAAGCCAGACCAGCATCATCAAACAAGAATGAATTATATTTTTGAAAGCCTTGCAAGTAACGCACCTAACTTTCCCCATGCCTGCCTTATGCAGTTGTTTGAGGCAACGAGTTGAGTTGAGTTGAATCAAGAATAACCATCACATCACTTAGGGAATTCCCATACGTGCTCTGTCCTCATCTTTAACAGCCAGCGCAGAGTTCCTGTACTAATGGTACTGGTCGTAGTCTGGTTATATGTCCGTCTAGCCTTTCCTCTGAGTGTAGTGAGCCGGCCAGACCCTCTGGTCACACCTAGCTGATAATATCTCCAGCCCTTAATAATCTACTTTCTCTTCAGACTTTGTTACCTGTTCCCAAAAGACCTGACCACATCTGCCTTGTGATGTTTCAGTTCGCCACCCAAAGATGCAGATTCAGCCAATTTATCTGCTTGTTCATTCCCCACCACACTAGCATTGCCTGAAGAAACGAGGCAACGAGTGTGTAGACTATAGGGCAGACAAGGTAGTTACTATGACTGGCCTGGCGCTGAACACGAGAGATGACATTAATGCAGATGCATATTGTGAAGATATCGCAACAACAAGCAAGACCAGGGCTTTATTTGAGGGGGAAAAAAATTGACCTACCGTCCCCCCTAACAAGCATGTCGCAAAAGTCAACTAATGAGGGGTGTATCCTTTCAAGTCAGAGAATATCTGCCTCAGAGGCAAGGAACTAACAGTATGCATACAAATAAGTTGGATATGTAAAACTCAATTTCTAGAACAAAACTTAAGAAGTGACTGAAAAACCAGAACTGAGTACCACTGGAGTTTACAGCCAGAGAATGTAAAGAAGAAGTTTGCTAGCTAGTTAGTTAGTTAGTTAGTCAGTCAGTCAGTCACTCAGTCAATTAGTTATTTGGTAAAATAGTTAGTTTTTTAGTTAGTCATTTTTCGGCCATGTTATGATAAGAGGGAAAATAGAACATGTTGTGACCACTGGAAAGATCTGTGGAAGGAGGGATAGAGGAAGACAACGAGAGAAGATGCTTCATAGTCTTGTTGCATGGCATGGAGGTGTGTCTGCACACGAACTGATACATGCTGCAGGAGATCGCAGATTATGGAGAGGCATGATTGCCCCCGCCAGTCGGCAAGTCACCTGATGATGATGAGTCAATAATCAAAAGATAATCCTCTTTGTGCACCAGACAACTCCATAGGCGCTCAGATCCAAACTTTAATATATCCCTCAGCATGTGGCGACTGATAACACTAGTTCTGTGTTGGTTTACTATTCATCTTTGACTACCTGTAGAGTTTCATGTTTGGCAACACCTCTTTTGACCTGAAGTAAAGAAGAAGTATCCTTACCCAGATTGACGGACATGGGACTGTAACCTGGAGCAGCCAGGCTTTAACATTTTACTAAAGCCATAAAACATCTGAATAATCATCACAAAAAGGGCCTGATCAGACAAGGACCATCTATGGATCTGTCCAGAGCGCTGTGATGATAGTCATCAATAATCACTCGATCATATCTCAAAGGTTTAAAAAAGTCAAGAAGGTCAACTTTATCGCACCAGAGCTCAGCTCCCTTTCCGTAACAGCCAATCATCTGCCTTAGCATTATACAAATCACGAACTCGGAGACTCCAGTGATCATTCCCAAGGATTTTTGTAAAAACTGCATGAGGTGCTTTTTTAATATCCTACCCCAAACAGGGGAAATCCACAGGTCACGGGACAGTCCAATATTTCAGGGGGTGGCAGATAGGCTGCACGCAGTCGTGGGACCTAGGTGGCACTCTCTCGTGGGACGGAGGTGGGTTGGGGTCAGGGCCAGTTCTGGATGTTTTGGGGTGTTAAAAGTTTCAGAAAGCCGGAAAACCCAGTCTCACCACCCTCTAAAATGTTGGATGGTCCTGTGACATCATCTGGAGTAGGATATTAATAAAGAACCCTGCTCGACAACTCAAAAATGCATAATCTGATGTGTTATTCTTACAACATACTTTGTCATGTTATGCCACACTATATAATTATTTCACATGCAGTAGCATATTTTTTAAAAACATGATTTAAGATGAACTAATTAAATAAAAAACAAAATATGTTGTATAGAATAATACAAGGGATAAAAAGATTTAAGATAAAATAACATTTAAAAAAATAACACTTAGGTGGTAAAACAACAACGACAAAATCCTCTGAAAAGATCAAAGCAATTTATCAAATCTTTAATGTTTAAGAGTGATGAACACATTTATTTAGACAACTATTTCAGAATGCACAGGAAGAACTTCATTACAGGAAAATATAAACTTCAAATAATAAGTTACTTTACTGTAAGGTAACATATAATTTATAACACTTACAGCAGAATACATAAATATAATTTATACAAAAAAGACATAAACATTAGACTGCACAATTTATTGCCTGGCATATTTTGCTGTATCTCGTCAGGTGCATACTACAGTAACAATTGATTAAAATGAAGCAAATAACTGAAGCCTAGAAACTGAAACATAAAATCAACTACATTCATGAACTGTCTTTTTCACCAAGGTAACGATAAGGTGACGACCATTTCTTTTTGTCTGCAAAGTTCTTGTTTTAACCAGTTGATCGCTGACGCTTCCTCATATCAGAGTAATCAACGGTTGGCCGAATTGTAAATAATTCGAAATGCATCATCCTCGTTTACAATGTGCCCAAAATTTAGAATATATAAATGCGATTGCTGATGATGGATTTTGTCGACCAGTCACCTGATTCATTTCAATCAATTGTTACAGTCTATTGTTTGTGTCTTCTTTATTCAAATTCACAACGGGGAAACATTGCTTTAAATAGAATTTAGCTATAAGAAAACCCAGTGGGTTCTGCGGCCCCATTTTGGGATGGGAAAAAACAAAAGACCTACTGCTCTTTTGGAAGGATGTTCTGCAAGATGACTAAACGGGAGACATGCTTAAATAGAATGTGTTAGGCTGAGTCAGAACTGCATCGAATTTAGGCAACAAAGAAACAAACTTAGGTGCAATTGCACACCACAAAGGAACAGAACTAAAATAAGATAGCAAAGTAACCATCCTTGATAAAGCAGGCCCTCAGGTGGCTAAAAAAGGACTAAGCTTGGAAATTTTGTTTTATTTCTATGATACGACGGTGAGTCAGAAGAAGAACAATTTACAGCAAAGTATAAACACAATATAATAACTAAGAAAGCTTCTTCTTCTGTATCTTTTCCCCCAGAGGAGCATAGGCCCTCAACCAGCTCATGCCAACTTATCCCATCCATTGCTATTGCATCCAGTGCATCCTCTGTCCTCTCCATCTCTTAACTTCACTATCTGTTTGTTTGTTTGTTTGTTTGAGTATCCAGAAGCCATGAGTTGTTAACCCTTAGGCTCGGTATTATGGATATCGCAACCTTTCCGCCTTGATTCCATTGTAAATACCGTAAATCTGGGATAAATGTGGCTTTTATGCCTACCCGTGGGAGTGAACCCGGACCACAAGGAGTTTATCACCCGGTCACCGCGCCATCCAGTTTAGCCAACTACGCTAGAGAGCCGGGGAACTTCACTATCTAGCTCTCTTCTCCATGTTTTTGTTGTTGTTGTCTGCGTTTATCTCTATGCCATTGCAAAGACATTCTAGTTATATTGTTCTCAGGTTTTCTCAATCTGTGTCCTATCCAACATCAGCATCTTTTCTTCACTTCTTGGTCCAGTTGAACTTGCTTAGTTCTCTCCTGAAGCTCCACATTTGCAAAATTAATTGTTTCTATTAAAATATAAGACACTTGGCAATAAAAAAAGCTAATAAAAGTGAGTTATGACACTTCAGGGATCAAAGCTCCCTTTAGCATGGCCACAGTTACCGGCCACCGATCAGGACTCCACTCCTTGGACTCTTCTTCGGGCAGAGGCTCCAGTCTGTGGATCGGCATCTGCTGGCCTGTGACACTCAACAGCTTCAGTTCCAGAGGTCCCAGTGGGAGATAGTCCTTAAAGAGGAAAATTTGAAAGATTATTTTCATATGCAGACCCAGCCACATTGGACTACAGGTTAGCTGGAACTGTTTTGTGGTGCCCTAATATAACAGTGCTATGCGGCTATATCCGGTTAGCGGGGTAGGGGTATCCCCTATCAAAGGAGAAGTAAGACGCCTCCTTTCCTCCGCTAGTCTACGGGACACCCTTGGGCAAGGTGGAGTACCCGTTTAGCCCCCCAATCAGGGTTACGTGAAGCCATGGAAGCAGGTGGTGGATGGAGTGTAAGAGCAGCCGACAGGTATTGTTGGTTATGGTCTGCACTCTGCGGCGATAGGCAGATGATCTCATCAGTAGAGACAATGGCTATGGCCACCGACTAGTATAGTCACTGCTCAGGAGGAAAGCAACGGCAAACTACCTTCTGCAAATTTTGCCAAGAATCCATAACAATCATGAAAGAAAACATCTTGCTCAGGATAGGAAGGTTTTCCGGAGGGTTGTTATGGCAGCGAGGTTCCGCGAGGGACATGCTACTGAATGAATGAATGAATGCGGCTATATGGTCAAACAGATTTTACCAGATTTGTACCTGTCTGATTCTCATCAAACCCTGGTAAACTCTGATGGAAGATGTATTAAAGAGGTTAAATGTAGAATAGCTCAAGCAAAGGAGGCATTTTACAAAAAGAAGAATATTTTATGTAATCTTTCTTTGTCAATTCAGACTAGAAAGAGAATTCTTAAAAGCTAGATAAATCCTATCTTGATTAATGGAAGTGAACCATGGACAATTGGTAGATTGGTGAAAAATTATTTGGAAGCTGTGGAGATGCAGTTTTATAGATGAATGATGAGAAAACCCAGGACAGATAAAAAAGAGAACAAGGATGTCTCTAAAGAAACTGACTCACGAAGAGAACTGACTGCCCACATCCGAAAGAGACAGTCCACATTCTTTGATCATGTGATGAGAAGGAGAAAACTGGAGTACATCGTGACACCAGGAAAGTTGGAGGGGAGGGGAGGAGAGGCAGAGGGAGACCGAGAGAAAAGATCCTGGACTGTCTGACATAATGACATGGAGGATCATCTGTCTCAGAACTGACAGAAAGTACACAAGACAGAAGGTTGTGGATAGACATGATTACCAACGCCACGTGGTGGACTTTAAGAAGAAGATTCTAATCCTTAGATGGCAGTCCTATAGGCTGCAATCCTGGAAGGAAAAACAAAAAATAAAAAATAAATTGGAAAAAGCAAGGTATGATTGACAGGGCAATATGAAATATAACTTATGGCTACAATTTATGGCTACAGTAGGATATTAGACGATGAAAAGTTCCTGGCGAAATGATCATAGCTATAGCAATATAAAATAAACTAACAGAATGTTTCAACCGTACACTAAGGCAATATGAAATGAACTAACAGAATGATTGTTTCAACCGTACACTAAGGTAATATGAAATAAACTAACAGAATGATCGTGTCACAGTATGGCAACATGAAATGTGACTGACACAGTGATCAGATCTTGAGCAATATGAAATGTGACTGACACAATGATCAGATCTTTAGCAATATGAAATGTAACTGACACAATGATCAGATCTTTAGCAATATGAAATGTAACTGACACAATGATCAGATCTTTAGCAATATAAAATGTGACTGACACAATGATCAGATCTTTAGCAATATGAAATGTGACTGACACAATGATAAGATCTTTAGCAATATGAAATGTGACTGACACAATGATAAGATCTTTAGCAATATGAAATGTGACTGACACAATGATCAGATCTTTAGCAATATGAAATGTGACTGACACAATGATCAGATCTTTAGCAATATGAAATGTGACTGACACAATGATCAGATCTTTAGCAATATGAAATGTGACTGACACAATGATCAGATCTTTAGCAATATGAAATGTGACTGACACAATGATAAGATCTTTAGCAATATGAAATGTGACTGACACAATTATCAAATATTTAGCAATATGAAATGTGACTGACACAATGATCAGATCTTTAGCGATATGAAATGTGGTTGACACAATGATCAGATCTTTAGCAATATGCAGTTATCTCACCTCAAAACTGTTTTACCTATAGAACTACATCAAAGTTATCTCATCTGAAACTGACTTCCCTGAAGAACTATATCAAAGTTATGTCAACTCAAAATGTTCTTCCCTTTAGAACTATATCAGTTATCTCATCTCAGTATTTTCCCCCCTCAAGATCTACATCAAATTTACCTCACCTCCAAATTATGTTCTCTAAAGAACTACATCAAAGTTATCTCACCTTGAAACTGTCTTTCTTATAGAATTACATCAGAGTTATCTCACCTCAAAATTGTCTTCCCTATAAAACTATATCATCTCATCTCAGAGTTGTTTTTCCTCTAGATCTACATCAAATTTACCTCACCTCTTAATTATGTTCTTTTAAGAACTACATCAAAGTTACGTAATCTCAAACTGTCTTTCCTGTAGAACTATATCAAAGTTATCTATATGACTATATATTATGTTCTCTTCAGAACTACATGAAAGTTATCTCACCTTGAAACTGTCTTCCCTATAGAACTACATCAGAGTTATCTCACCTCAAAATTGTCTTCCTTGACTGAATAGCTCTCAAGGGCTCCATTTGAATCATCTGAGTCTTCTAGCGAATACAGACCATCAGTAAATAGTTATAGAAAGCATATATTGTTGCAATGATCAATAACACAGTTTTAATGACACTGGAAATATATAAGTAGAAGTAGTTATTTAGAGCAAATTTTTCAGTCCATAGAAATGTAGATGTTGGGTAATGGGGAGCATGCGTTCATACTGAGTGATTCACTAAATATGCTCAAGAAAATCCAAGCTGGCTTCATTAGACATCTTTGTTTTCTTCTTTGTTCACCGGTAGAAAATCCTGGCTGTTTATCTATTTGGACTTTAGCTTTGTGCCAGGGCCTGAGTTTTGCATGAACATCTGTTTTACTGACTTATTTGTTTGCAGCTGACTGTTCCTTGCTACTCGGGCAGACGCACTTTGACTTTGCAGGAAATCTCCAGTTAGTCAGCTCCTACGACATGCTGGCTGGGAAGGCAGGGGGGTCTATTCTTGTTTTCCATACAATGGGGCCCCAGAATGCACAGGGGGAGGCTTTGTTAGACCAAAATGGATTCTCTCATTGTAAGCATCAAGAATAACTTGCCTAGCCATTATCTTTGTGCTGGTCCTTGTGGGTATTCAAGGCGAAGAGCATGTAAAATGATCTGGCAGACAAGGTGGCTACCACGACCGGCCTGCAACTGACTGATCAGGAGTGATGTTATTATTGCCATGCATGATGCATATCACAGGGAAGATCACAACAACAAGCAAGACTCAGTATCCTCATCCAGGTTGGTGGAACACTGGGGTGCAGCCTGGAGCAGCCAGACAGGAACATGTCACCGAGGGCAAAAGATGTCTGATTATAAATTAATCGACACAGAACGGGTGTGATCAATCATGTTACACTTGTGGAGCAGCTGAGGAGGAGATCAGAGCACCTATGGATCTGTCAGGAGTGCTGAGATGATAGTCCTCAGTAATTACTAATGGGGAGCAGAACAAGTGCTACAATAACATAATACTGGGGGGGGGGGGGGGGGGGGGGTAGGTGGGACCAAAGATTAAAAGAACAGCATATTACACAATGTTATATCATAAACTGAAATGAATTGCAAAACACAGGTTTTCTTAATGCTCAGTCTTTGAAAGTTTGGATGACTAGGTGACTTGATATGGCAACAGCCACAAAGTCTTAGCTGTATATGATGTGTCTTCTCTTCTATACCCTTCTCCATGCCTTCTGGCGTACGGGGGTATATAGGTTAGTTGCGTATCCTTTACAGGACATTGCAGAACCAACCCCAACTGCCCCTGTCTGTTGTGTGGTTTTTCTAGGCAAATTTACATCCAGTAGTTTGCCATTGCTTTCTGGACGGTCGGCTTTCTTGATACCACTGTCAAACCAATGCAAGGCACATGGCCCGCAGCTGGGATCGAACCCAGCATCCCAGCATTACGAAGCCTTCACATCGACTTAGCCACAGAGCCGATAGGGGCATATAGGACCAGACCTATATTTTTATAGACCAATCGGCACTTGGTGGGTGATGTGGTCAAGATCATGCCGGCCACCTTTACTTCCCAGGATTGTACCTGGTACACACTCCAGACTGGCTCAATCTGGGGAATACGATGTAGAAGAGCAAAATCAGTAAAGGTCACTATGTACAAAACACTGGTATTGTCTATCTTCTTACACAAATGTAAAAGTTGGACTCTTACTGTGGAAATGGAAAGAAGGATTCAGGCTTTTGAACATAAATGCTACAGAAAAAATTCTACAAATTAGCTTTTTACAAAATAAAACTAACAATTATATCAGAGACAAAATGAACAAATTTGCAGGACATCAGAAGCTTCCTTTGGTAGTGGTGAAACGTCACAAGCTAGGATGGTTAAGACACATGGTGAGATCTGAGTTGATTGCAAAGACTTCAAGGAACATTGGACAAGGGGGGGGGGGGGGGGGGGGGGATAGTTGAAGGAGAAGGGAGCGAAGGTGAACTTGGAAATACAACATCAAGAAACGGACAGGACTAAATTACTATACACTTGTAAGGAAATGAGCAAGCTAATAGACTTGTAGGTAAGGCTACTGTGATGCCGGACAAGCCATGGACCAGGCTGAGATACTGAATGCTCTAAGAGAGTTAAGACATTTGTATAAACCAATTTAGAACTGTGAATCTGCAACCATGATCAGACTGCAAGAACAGCAAGTTAAACAGGGTGTCGCCAAACAAGAACACTATTCAGGTAGCCAAAGAAGAAGAATAAACTAACTCAGGACTGGTGTCGTCAGCCGCTACACGCTGCAGGATTTACTGAGGAGGGGATCTGAGCCCTTATGGACTGAGTGGTTTGACATGCAATGAGGATCATCTGTTGACAAACTAACTAACTAATTAACTCTCCTCAAACCATAATGATCTATGTGTGCCTCTGCACTGTTCACTCTCTCCCAAAGGACTTTGAACATCCAGCTTGTCATACATCAATTCACCTCCCCCCCCCCCCCCCCCCCCCCCCCCCCGCCCCAAGTGGTGCTTTTTAAAAAAATTACTCTGGCTCCCAGGTCGACCCAGGTGGGCACCAGGTAAAGTCCTGGGAAGTAAAGGTGGCAGGTGTGAAGCTGATCTTATCCCCCACCGAGTGCCAATTGGTCTATAAAATGTATGGTCTCACTCTACATGCCCAATGCACCTTAAGGCATGGAAAAGGGTCCTTTACTTTTATGATAAATTATAAACATTGATTAACTCATGCCTGCGCTCAAGTGGTTTTACAGGATGACTCCTGTGGATATCAGAGAGAGATCTAAGCACATTCCAGTGAATCAAGTGGTGAAGGAAAGACACTGGTATTGGACAGGACACACGATGAGAAAAACCTGAGAACAATCAAACTAGAAAGGCTTCATACTCTAACCCACAGGGGGCGTACAAATAAAGGCAGACCATGAAACGCATGGATAAGAGAATTAGAGAGTGAAGTTCAAAATGAAAATGGGGAGGTCATGGGGTAAGCTGTAAGTGACAGCAAAGGATGGGACGACTTGGAGTGAGCTGGCTGATGGCCTATGCTCCACTGTAGGATAAATCAAAGAAGATGAAGGAGAACAAGAAGAAGGCGAAGAATAGAAAGGAGAAGAAGAAAATGAAGAAGGAGGAGGAAGAGGTGGAGGAGGAGGAGTAAGAGGACAGCAGGTTACCGACCATCATCTGATACTTCTTGAGTGCCATCGTGTGATCGTCCATGTGAGCTGAGAGAGAAAACTTTGTCCTCGACTGCTTTCTGAACTGCACTTTTTGGTCGTTCTAAGGAGGCAGGAAAAGTAACTATAGAATTAATTTTAAAGAACAAAACACAACAATTAAGGACAAATAATATGAGGAGAGCCGCCATGGTGTGGCGGCTAAACACTCCCCTGCGGATTGGAAGGTCGTGTTTTCAGGTCCTGATAAAGACTGACTTTTTTCAAAAGTGACCATGAGTGGGTACTAGGTGCAGTCCTGGAAAATAAAGACAGCTGACCTTATCACCAAACCCTGTACCAATTGATCTATAAAATATAGGTCTAGCCCTACATGCCCAATACACCTGAATACGTGGAAAATGGTCCTATACTTATTTACTACTAATATGAGGACGAAAGGGGTTGTTGATATTTTTCATTAATAGTGGAAGTTGGTTCCAAGGAGGATTGCAGAGTACGCCAAACATGTTTTGTACAAGTCTGTTCTAGGTTTAGGGGTGTGTAATATGTTTAGGCGTTTGCTGTCGCCCATTATACTTTAAGAATGGTCAAAGGTAATCTGGAGCATTTTTTGATAAGATATTGTGAAAAACTTTGGCCTTACTGAAAAGTAATTATTTATGGAAGGGTAGTGAATGGAGAGGCAGGCAGTCTGTTAAAACCTTGAAGTGCTTTTTGCTTCCAGTCATGGTGGGCTAACACAGTTGCCACATTTGGACAGGAAGCCACAACTTTGTTGTCTATGCTACTGTTAAGTACCATTTTTTCTGTGTGTACATTTTTTCTTTAACTCTACGGTGAGCTGTGTATTTCACATTAATATGCTGTTTTTACAACTTTCCGTCCCTTTTAGGATGAAATTTTTCGTTATTTGAAGCCCTATGGCTTTGCCAGGGGCCGCAATATAGCCTGGCCATAAATATGGCCTAAAGGCTGAACGCGGTTTCTGGGACCTCTCCCCGGTTATCCTCACCCACATGGTAACACTTTGTGTTATCGGGTGTTTATCGCTTGTGTGATGTCCTGGTGGGGTAGAAAGTCAGTCAGTCAGTGTATTTCACATTTCATGTGCAATGGCTTTCCTCTGTGAATGCAGTGGTCTGCAGTGTTCAGAAAAAAAAAATTACTGGTGGCCAGTTAGCATTCAGTCTTATGCATTAATACTGCATGTGTACAACTGACTTGTTGCGACTTTTCCATTAACTACTAATTGTAATTCCGGTGATGACTATTGGTTTGAAACCTAGACTACTATTAAAACTATACTCTGGCTTGTGTTCACAGTCGAGTTGAAACCTTGACTACTATTAAAACTATACTCTGGCCTGTGTTCACAGTCGAGTTGAAACATTAACTACTATTAAAACTATTCTCTGGCTTGTGTTCACAGTCAAGTTGAAACCTTGACTACTATTAAAACTATACTCTGGCCTGTGTTCACAGTCAAGTTGAAACCTTGACTACTATTAAAACTATACTCTGGCCTGTGTTCACAGTCAAGTTGAAACCTTGACTACTATTAAAACTATACTCTGGCCTGTGTTCATAGTCAAGTTGACACCATGACTACTACTAAAACTATAACTACAATAACACCGAAAACAATGAGCTGGGATTAGCCCATGGAATTACTACCAAAGCTGCTCACTCTCAGTTACAGATCCAGGTGATTCTAAACTCATCTGCAGTGGGTCCCAAGAGCAGTAACCTGTAGCTTAGTGGGGCACTAATAAATGTTTCACAATGTAAACAAGTGACATGTGAGTAAAGCATGGTGACGTTTGTCTATGACCTTCGAGGCCATGACAGGAGATACTAGAACTAACTCCTCATGTGATCAATAAGTAGAGGTACTTTGGAGTGGCGGCTACATCAGAGGACTAAGCATGCAAAGGAGTGCCCAATGTGCCATGACACTGACTGTGATAACATAAAAAACATTCTTCTATCTGTGGGAGCCACAGTGGTATAGTGGCTAGACGCTGGCATGCCGGCTGTAAAGTCGAGGGTTCAGGTCCTGACTGGGGCTGGACGTTTTGCAAAAATGACCTTGGCTCCCAGGTCAACCCAGCCTTGAGTGGGTACCAGGTAAAGTCCTGGGAAGTAAAGGTGGCTGGCGTGATGCTGACCACATCACCCACCAAGTGCAGTTTGGTCTATACAATACAGGTCTAGTACTATATACCCAATACACCTGAAGGCATGGAAAAGGGTACTTTATACTTATATCTTTGATACTATTAACAGCATAAGTGGTCTAGCTAAAGCTTACTGTAAACAGGCTTCTGAACTTGTTGTTCAAATTCCTCTTCTGTGGGAACAGTGATAGTGGACAAGTCCATCTGAAGGACTCCAGTGTGGTCCAGGTTTTCAGAATCTCCAAACTGAGTGAGGAAAAAGCTTCTGAAAGTATAAAGAAAAGATTCTATGTATGCTTGTCTTTCTTTCTCTTTTGCCCTCTTCTGAAATTTTCAATTTTTTTTTCATTCTTGTACTCTCCTTAAATCTCTCACTCTCTCTCTTTTCTTTCTCTCTTGCTTTCTCCATTCATCTCTTTCCACTGTTCTCCCTAGCTCTCTCTCTCTCTAAATCTAAATCTCTTTTTATCTACACTGCCGACTCTCTAAATACATCTCTTTCTCTCCAGTCCTCTCTGATCCCTTTATGTCTTTCTCTGATCCCTTTATGTCTTTCTCCTTCCTTAAATCTCTCATTCTGTCTCTTCCATCTCCTTAAACCTCTATCTCTTTCCTTCTTGCTTTATCGCTAAAACTTTCTCTTGTTGTCTCCCAAAACCTCTTTCTAAATCCCCACCCCTCTTCTTTTTGTCACACACAAATAAAAATATACAAAACTTAACTAGACTACTGCCCAGCAGAGTTCATATTCTACAAACTAACCTCTGTGCAAGACACAACAAGGTTATCTGTTTTCCTGTTGAAAAAATGCTTATAGTTCGCACTGTCCAATGACACCACAGAAAACCTTTCATGACCCCAAGAGAGGTTGCAATCCATGGGTTGCAAACATGTTCATTATGGCATTAAATATTAAAAAGTAAAGATTAAAGTAAAGATCCCTTTTTAATACATCCTTAGGCACATCAGGCATATGGGAAGAACACCCATATATTTACAGACCAATCAGCACTAATTGGGTAATGTGGTCAGCATTATGCCGGCCGTTTTTACCTTCTCAGGACATACATCCTGGTACCCATTTTAGATGGCATTAAATATGGCCAAAGTACTTCAGTTTCCAAGAAATGCCTCTGTCTATAAGACAGTCCCCATTTACATTCAAATTAAGAAGTATGTCAATTTCTCCTCTTCTTGGTCCCTGGTACACTAAGAATATTCCTAAAGCTTTTACAATTAAAAAGCAATGAATATATCATAATCCATCAGCATGTCCTCTACAGAACATTGCTTTCCTCAAATCACGCCTGAAAGTATCCCTTTCCCTTGACAGCTCTCCAGCCCCATGCGCTTTCAATGCCAATGCATCTTCAATGTCCTGTATCCATCTTCACGGTGGTTGACTCCTGCCTCGCCCTCCACAAACTGCACCCTTCCATCACCATCTTTTCCCAGCCACCACGATGTTTGATGTGGCCAAAATACTTAAACTTTTGGGGCAGGAAATATATACATATGGTAAATTTGGAAACTCAGATAAATCACAAGAGATGCCACGGCCTGTCTGGTACCTGGAAATTGTCAGGTCGTCAACAGAACAATCAAACAGCTCACTGATCAGCTCAAGATTCTCTTGCTCCAACATCTCCACAACAGCTCGGACTTTCTCAGTCTCAATCCGATGAATGGCAACCTTGTGAACACAGCCAGGAGGGTTGTATTAACAATCTAACAAAACACTAGTATTGTTAACTCTCTTGAGTCCCAAGAAGCGCATCATATGATCATAGATTCCTACCTAGAAGTAAAATTACTGCATGATGCACCAATTTTATGTCTCTCTTAACTCCCCCTAGGGGCTGTGATGCTAAACTCATTGGGACTCAAAGAGTTAACATGCTCAACTATTTACTGCAATATATTTGTAAATTATTATAAACATTCTTGTTTAACATTATTTTATTTTATTGTTATTCTTTCTTTGTTTCTTTCCTTCTTTCTTTCTTTCTTTCTTTCTTTCTTTCTTTCTTTCTTTCTTTCTGTCTGTCTGTCTGCCTGCCTGCCTGCCTGCCTGCCTGCCTGCCTGCCTGCCTGCCGTCCGTCCGTCCGTCCGTCCGTCCGTCCGTCCGTCCGTCCGTCCGTCCTTCCTTCCTTCCTTCCTTCCTTCCTTGCTTGCTTCCTTCCTTCCGTCCTTCCTTCCTTCCTTCCTTCCTTCCTTCCTTCTTTTATTCCTTCCTTCCTTTCTTCCTTTCTTTCTTTCTTTCTTTCTTTCTTTCTTCCCCCCTTTCTTTCTTTCTTTCTTTCTTTCTTTCTTTCTTTCTTTCTTTCTTTCTTTCTTTCTTTCTTTCTTTCTTTCTTTCTTTCTTTCTTTCTTTCTTTCTTTCTTTCTTTCTTTCTTTCTTTCTTTCTTTCTTTCTTTCTTTCTTTCTTTCTTTCTTTATTGTGTAAGCTACTTATCTACTCTAGGAAGTGCACACATGCATATACACACAGACACATACACATGCATGCACCGAGGATTCACATCTTCCAGTGCCATGTCGATAAGCATTAGGTTGTTATGCTTCACTATCTCAAATGATCACCAAGTTCAATAATCAGGTCTGTGTTCTTGTCATGAGGTTTCTCTTTGCTTTCTATTTGCTCCTTTCCCAGTCTTGCTAGTTGTATCCAAGTTCTCAAGACCATTCCTTCTCACGTGTCAAAAAACACAAACATGTCCACACACAAAAAACACACAAACATGTCAAAAAACACAAACATGTCAAAAAACACAACCATTTCATAAATTACAAACAGGAAAAAAAAAAAAACATATCAAATAAACACAAAAAGATCAGAAGACAAAAACACATCCAAAAAAAAAAACTTCTTTAAAAAACACAAACATGTCAACAAAATACACAAACATGTCACAAACAAAAACAGTGTAAAAAAAGAAAAACCTGTCAAAAAACATGTTAAAAAACACAAACATGTAACACACACAAAAAACATGTAAAAAATACAAAAAAAAGTAAAAACAACACAAACATGTGAAAAACACAAACACATAAAAACAAGATGTCAAAAAACACAAACATGTCAAAAACCAAAAATGTCAAAAAACACAATCTTGTTTTTAAAAAAAACATGCCAAAAAACACACAAAAACACAAACATGTCAAAAAGCACAAACATGTTTTTAAAAAAATTTACAAAAAACACTCACACACACAATCATGTCAAAAAACACAAACATAAAAAACAAAACACTGTCTGTCTAAGTCTAATTTGTCTAATTAGTGTAAAGTCCTCATCTGTCTTAAATGGAACCCAGTATACTTAGGAAAGATGTGTATAAACCAAACAGTAAATTTAAAATAATATAAAGACTACATTGTTCATTGTTCATTGAAAGATCATCTTAACGGCACATCGGGCATGACCACGGGTGCTCTGATCTCCTCCTGAGTGTGTCTGTAAGTGTTTCTAGGCTAACAACTCCCATTTTGTTCTGCTTGATGTAAAGTTAGATGGCTCCAGCATAGGTTTACCTGTCTCGCTGCTCCAGCTGGTTCACCCAGGGTATGCAGTCTATTCAGTGAAAAATTATTTTCCACAAAACTGAAAGCCTCTTTAGTTTCTCGTATGTCCTTGATGATGTCTCTCCTGTCCATATTTGGCCTCCTCCTGATAGTCACACTGCCAGCCAGTGTGTCTGCTCTCTCACTGCCTTTCACATCAGCATGACTTGGGACAAAAATACTTCAAAGCAGACAAAGAAAAAAACTAACATATAATAAAACAGAATCTAGCTACAACAAAGCTTGAGAAAAGGTTTTACCTCTCGGTTCAGCCAGTTATTGTCCAGCATTTCCTGTCTATCTTTCTTGTCCAACTGAGCTATAGCTCTCTAAGGGGAATAAAAGGCCAGATATCTTAACTCTTTGGGTCCCAGGGGGGTTGGAATCAGAGGCCAAAGGAGTAGTCAAAAGAGATGTAAAATCAGCGCATCTTGCGTTAAATGGGCGTCTAGGTAGGAACATATGAACTTATGATGCCTTCTTTGGGACTCAAGGGGTTAACTTAATCTGATAAGGTAATATCTTTTTCAACCCTTGTGGTTTATAGCTGGGATACATAACAGACCCTTTACCGAGCCTTCAGATGTATTGGGTACAAAGGTCTAGAGTTTTATTTTATAAACCAATCAGCACTGAGTGAGTGAGGTGTCAGCCGCCTTTACCTCCCAGGACTTTACCTGGTACCCACTTCAGGTTGGGTCACCCTGACAGCCAACGTCATGTTTTTTTTTTTTAAAAGTCCGGATCTATCAGGACCTGAACCCACCACCTTCCGATCCGCAGGCGAGTATCTCGGCGCTACACCACGGCAGCTCTCTGCTGATATATCTCTTACAGGGATTCATATCAAAGATATGTTTTTTTATTAAAGTTGATTAAAATACCTTACTGACATTAGTAATCAGTGTCCCTCTTTCTCAATGTCCCTTGCACTTGTCTCTCTCTCTCTTTCTCTCTCTCATTCAATCATTGTTCCTTTCTCTTTAATTTCTCTCTCTCTTCCCTCTGTCTCTCTCTCATTCACTCACTGCTTCTTTCTCTTTAATTTAATCGCTCTCTCTCCTCTCTGTCCCATCTCTCTCTCTCTCTCTCTCTCTCATTCATTGTTTATTTCTTTCTCTTTACTTTAATTTTCCTCTCTCTTCTTCCCCCCCCTCTCCCCATTCACTCACTGTTTCTTGCTCTTTAATTTAATCTCTCTCTCTCATCCACTCACTTTTTCTTTCTCTTTAATTTAATTGCCCCTCTCTGCTCCCTCTCTCTTTCTCTCCCTCATTCACTCAATGTTTCTTTCTCTTGAATTTAATCGATCTCTCTCATTACTCACTGTTTCTTTCCCTTTAATTTAATGTCCCTCTCTCCCACCCCTCTCTCTCTCATTCATGCACTGCTTCTTTCTCTTCAGTTAAATCTCCCTTTCTCTCTATCTCTCTCATTCACTCACCATTTCCTTCCCTTTAATTTAATCCCCCCCTCTCTCTCTCTACTTCACTTACTGTTTCTTTTTCTTTAATTTATTCTCTCCCCCCCCCCTAATTCATTCATTGTTTCTTTCTCTTTAATTCAATTTCCCTCTCTCCATCTCTCTTTGCCTCCATTCCCTCTCTTGTTATATGAAGATAACATGCTTTATAGATAAAATACAATCATGTTGTAGAATGAAGCCAAATGTAATATGAACACGCATGCTTGATTTGTGACCCCTTCCTTGAAAATAAAGTCTGTCTATTCGTTTTTCTCTCTCTCCTTCTCTCACCTCTGAAGTATTGACGTTATAGTTGTCCCCATGTGAGATGCAATTTTTTTGTTATTTGAAGCCCCAACCTAGCTTTTGCCAGGGGCCCTAAATAAAGCCGGGCCATAAATATGGCCTAACGGCTGAAAGGGGTTTCATGGACTTCTCCAAGGGTGATCCTCATCTGCATGGTGACACTTTGTGTCACTGGGTGTTGATTGCTTGTGTAATGTCCTGGTGGGGTACAACAACTACCTACCTACCTACCTCTGAAGCTTTATCCTTCTGTTGTGAAAGTATCTCTTCTGTTTCCTTGTGCATAACAGTAAACACTTTCTCGTTATCTCTTGTTGAGTAAGCTGTCAAACAAACAACAGACTAAAATGAAAGAGCTACAGAGAATTACAATAATCAAGCATGTTACAATGAATTCGAACTTGCTATAATTGACTTACTTACTTACCTGCTTACTTATTCACTCCCCTTCTACCCTGGTTTGCCAGAGAGATCACTAGACTTCTCTTTCAGCTGTTTTCTTTTTGGCTTTGTTCCATTCAAGTCCTTGGTCAGTAGGGAATGTCAGATGTTGTCTTCCCAGCAGACCGTGGGTTGTCCTGGTAGTCTCGTTTCCTGGTTCTCGGCCTCCTTTCCCTGCCGTGGGGCAAATTCTTTCCCATTCTGCATCCGCGACCAAACCACTGTAACTGTGACTGACCCAATCGGGTTTGAAAGGACTGGGTTTCAAGGTCATGATGTATTGTCTCATTGTGAACTTTCTCCCTTCTTGTCACTTGGACCACCTTTCTCGGACACCTCATTTCTGAGGCCTGAAGCTGGCTTCTGTAAGCTGCTGTCATCACCCATGATTCACACCCGTATGTCAGGACCGGTACATAAGTAGAGCAGTACACAGCCTTTCTGTCACTATGCTTATTTCTCTCTTGCTAAGAAACCCTTGGTTTATTGCCTGAATAGAGTCTCCCAGCTGTAGCTTTTCGAGTAGCCAAATCTGACTTAACTCATTAAATCCCAGAGGGTTTAGCATCACAGGCCAAGGGGTAGTCAAGAGAGACATGAAATCGGCTCATCATGTGTTCATTGGGCTTCTAGGCAGTAACCTATGAACATATGATGCGTTCCTTGGGACTCAATGAGTTAATGCCTCCATTCTAGTCTATTACAACCCTAAGGTATCTGAACTGGTTCATCTACTCCAGTGCATTTCGTCACCTCATGATCTGATGTTTCTTCTCCTCTCTGTACATCACCATGGTTTTAGTTTTAGAGACATTGATGGTCATCCCTCTCTTCTCAAGCTCTTCCTTCTACACAAGTGAGCTGGCTTAAAGATGTGCTTCTGATTTAGCTATCATGTCCACATCATCTTGATTTTATAGAAACTTTTATACTGCACTGATCAAGGGTGCTAGAATGTTTTTCCCTGCCAAACAGTCCCAGAGTTTGCTCCAGGGAACCTTATCAAATGCCTTGGTTGGCAGGCACGTGCTTGTATCTTTATATATTTATGTGTGTGTGTGTGGGCAGGTGGGGGGTTTGATGGGTGGGTGAATGGGGGGGGCGGGGGTTGATGGGTGGGTGGATGGGTGGGTGGATAGGTGTGAGCGAGTGTGTGCGTTAGGTGTATTTGTGTGTGTGTGTGTGTGTACGTGTGTGTGTGTACGTGTGTGTGTGTGTGTCGTGTGCTCCCTGTGAAAGGGGTCATGACTCATAGGATGAAAACTGCTGAAGTAAGCACTGAGATTACTTTTGTGGTGAGAATGTAGTTATATACACATTCTCTGGAGGACAGGTGAACTTGTTGTGTTTGGCTGGTGCTCTGAAGGTTGTGGTTTCACTGCACTGATGAGAGGTATTTTACAAAATATCATTTTAATCTCTGCACATTGGAAAGCCACTCTACCGATTGCCACTCCCCTGCTTCAAGAACCGTCACAACCAAGGTTTCCTTGATATTCTGTGTCCACCGCCATGCTGTCACATTTACAGCAATCACCACTATGGCTGTGGAGTTCTTGCTATGTGATGATCTCTGCAGGCATCTATCTGTGCTGCAGAGAGAGACTGAGCAGGCATGATAAAACCCAGTGTAATGATGTCGATCCTCTCAACATTAACCGTTTAGGCAAAGATTTCAAGTACACCATTCTTTACTTCCAGAAGAAGAAGGAAAAGAAGAAAAAGCAGAAAAAGAAGAAGAAGAAAATGAAGAAGAAAGAGAAGAAGAAGAAGAAGAAGAAGAAGAAGAAGAAGAAGAAGAAGAAGAAGAAGAAGAAGAAGAAGAAGAAGAAGAAGAAGAAGAAGAAGAAGAAGAAGAAGAAAAAGAAGAAGAAAACGAAGAAGAAGAAGGAGGAGGAAGAAGAAGAAGAAGAAGAAGAAGAAGAAGAAGAAGAAGAAGAAGAAGAAGAAGAAGAAGAAGAAGAAGAAGAAGAAGAAGAAGAAGAAGAAGAAGAAGAAGAAGAAGAAGAAAAGAAGAAGAAGAAGAAGAAGAAGAAGAAGAAGAAGAAGAAGAAGAAGAAGAAGAAGAAGAAGAAGAAGAAGAAGAAGAAGAAGGAGGAGGAGGACTAGGTAAAGAAGAAGAAGGAGGAGAAAGATGAGGAGAGAAGAAGACAAGAAGGACGAGGAAAAAAAGAATTAGAACTAACCAGTCATATCTTCAAAGGTGATTTCAATGTCTTTCAGTTCCTGCTCCAAGAGTTTGATCTGCATCTGCAGCTGGTGCTGACCTGATTCTTGGAAGGATCGCCAGTAGCTCAGTTCTTCCGTGGCTGTTTGGATCTCTTCCTCAGTCTTTGTTATCTGTCTCTTCATGCCTGTGTTTCAATTGTTGAAGCAGGATAAATAATGACACAGTATTATTAGACCCAGGTGCCAAAAGGTCTAAGAAAAAAAAAAAAGTGTTAAATTGGGCAAATCCTTAGGAGCAGCGGATAGAGAAACTTCTTCTTCCTGTTCTTCTTCCCAGTCGCCAGGTGTAAACTCTGGAAAAAAAGCTCTGGTTGTTCGCTCACCTCTGGTCTTTAGCCTTGTTCCAGTACTTGAGTTTTGCATGCACACGGTTTTACAGATCTGGCTTATTTGTACACCACAGACTGTTGGTTCCCTGCCTCTCAGGCAGATGTGCTTCAACATCACAGCAAACCCTTAATTAGTCTACTCTTAGGACATGCTTGTTAGAGAGGCAGTGGGACCATTCCTTTTTTGCCCCGGAACCCACATGGCGAGGACAGAGAATCACTTAACAGGCTCTGAAATGGAAAACAAATGAACTGAGGAAATGATGACATCCAAAAGAAATCTTGAAACAAACATCGATGAGACAAACCTCTTCTTCTCCTTCTTAACATTCACTCTATGTAAACTCCAGTGGACGCCCGGCTCTCTAGCGTAGTTGGCTAAACCGGATTGCGCGGAGACCCGGTGACGAACTCCTTGTGGTCCGGGTTTAATCCTGGGGGTAGGCAGGAAAGCCACATTTTCTCCCAGATTTACGGTATTTACAACGGAATCAAGGCCGAAAGGTTGCGATATCCATAATACTGAGCCTAAGGGTTAACAACTCATGGCTTCTGGATACTAAAACAAACTCCAGTGGTTGTTCATCCAGTTCTGGACTTTGGTCTTCCTCCAGGAGTTAAGTTCTGCATGCATATATGTTTTACAGATCTGAATGCAAACTGTTTGTTTTCCTCAGGTAGATGTACTTTGATGTTGAAGGAAACACCCCTAACAAGTCATCATCATCATCATCAGGTGCCTTGCCCACTGGCGTGGGCGATCATGCCTCTCCATAATCTGCGATCTCCTGCAGCATGTATCAGTTTGTGTGCCGACACACCTCTATGCCATGCAACAAGTCACCTTTTACAAAATGCTTTTATCCAAAGTAGTAATGATACGTGATTATGAGTACGAAGGTGGCTATTTAGTCCAATATGAGCCTGGAAAGTGCAGACAACAGATGGAAGCCGCAGTAAGTGTGGGATTAGCAGTACGATTCTCTCTACTCTGCCTCCGTTTCTCTGCCTGTGCAACCTCTGCTACCTGGCAGGCCGATGCATCATGCCTGAGGAACGTACGCCATCCAGAACGGCCTTCAATGTCACTGTGTTGATGCCAAAAGAATTGAGAGCAATCTTGAGTGTCCTTATAGTGCTTTTTCTATGCTCCCTGGGACCTTTTCCCTTACTGGAGCTCACCCTAAAATACTCTCTTCGATATTCTGGCATGTGGGTTAGTTGACCAGCCCAACGCAGCTGATAATTCTTCAGTATCATATGGATGCTAGGTAGGTTTGCCCTATCAAGAACCACAGTATTTAGGATCTTATGCTGTAAAGCATATTGCAGAAAGCAGTTACTTACAGTTTTTGTCTCTTGCTAGTTGCGTAGCTTGTGTTAATGTTATACTGCATTTCTTTAGTATCTCATTTACTCTCTTCAACCAACTCTTTCTTTGATCGGCCTCTTGCCTTGTAACCTGCTATTTTCATGTAGTACTGTCTAGCTGCTGGCTAATTTTCTTCCATTCTGGCCAGATGACCAAACCATTTGATTCTATGATGTTCTATGACATCATTGACTGGTTCTGTGCCTACTGTTTTTCTTAGTTTTTTATTGGTGAATCTGTCTCATCTTGTTTTTCACTGCAGTTCTGATATATCTCATCTCAAATGTTGTAATTCTGAATTTATGTTCGGGGAATGCTGGTGTGTTGGGAAATGAACAAGCGGACAGACCTGCTGGCTCTGCACAACTTGGTGGAATGCTGATACATAATAAGGCAGACATAATTAGTGCCTTGTGGGAGAGCGTGTACAGTTTGGAGGAGCAGATGGATCACCACAGACTGGTGAGATTGATCAGCGGGGAGTGACGAGAGTTTCTGGCAGATGCTCGAGGCTCTGAGGAAAGACAAGACGGACGTTTAATCAGAATGCTACTGGCACCATTAGTATCAGAACTCTTCGCTGGCTGCTGAAGATGGGGATGGAGCGCTTATGGGAATGCCCAGAGTGCTGTGATGTTGGTTCTTGAATCAAATCAAATCAATTTATGTTTTTCCAGAAATGTTCATGGCATTGACAGCCCAAAGTTGGAACAAACAGGGCATTTATCAGCTCCTTTTTAGTGGGGGGGGGGGGGGGGGGGGAGGGGGGATAGGGTGTGTGCATGTTGATATTTTGATGCCTCAAAAATAGCGCCCTTGATAATTTTATGCTGTTGGCCTTCTGTATTATGTGTTCTAATTCTCTACTCAATCCTCCATCCTCCGTGGTACTGAAACTTCTTAGCTTGTTTTAATGTCTCTCTTTCAACAGCGTTGACATGTTACTTACACACAGTACTATAATTTAACAAACTAACCTTCTATTTCATATTCTCTTTCTTTCCGTTTTCTCCACGTTTCCTTCATAAAATCATTAACATCGTCTCTGGTCGTGATTTCTTCCCCGTGTAGCAGTTTGGCCTCATTTCTGTTCATCTTCAGCAGGTTCTTCAATAAGAGTTCTTCCTCTTCTTTTAACTTTTCATTCTGAAAAGAATAATTTCCTCAGTATGTATTATAATACTTACTGTGCTACAGAGTGATGATAGTGGTGTTTTGCAAGATAAGATGATGATTAAAAGTGAAAGAAAAAGATAACGGTAAACGAAAAATTTGAGTCACTGGATGCCAATCCTCAGGTTGCTATCCTGGGGCAGATAGAAGATTGTGGATTTTCATGACTACCAATGCCACAAGGTATGGAAGACTATCTGTGTCAGAACTGACTAAATGTACAGGAGACAAAAGGTTGTGGATATACATAACTACCAACGCTACAAGGTAAGGAAGATCATCTGAATCAGAACTGACTAAAAGTGCAGGAGATAGAAGGTTGTAGATAGACATGACTACCAAAGCCACAAGAAATGGGAGTTCCTCTGTCAGAAAAGATTTAAAGTACAGAAGATAGAAGGTCATGGATGGACATGACTACCAACACCACAAGGTATGGAAGATCATCTGTGTCAGAAATGACTGACAGTGTGCAAGTGAGAAGGCTGTGGATAGATGTGACTACCAATGCCAAAAGGTATGGTATACCACCTGTGTCAGAACTGATTGAAAGTACAGGAGATAGAAGGTTGTGGTTAGATATGACTACCAACACCACAAGGTATGGCAGACCATCTGTGTCAGAACTGATTGAAAATACAGGAGATGGAAGGTTGTGGTTAGATATGACTACCAACACCACAAGGTATGGCAAACCACCTGTGTCAAAACTGATTGAAAGTACAGGAGATAGAAGGTTGTGGTTAGATATGACTACCAACACCACAAGGTATAGCAGACCATCTGTGTCAGAACTGATTGAAAGTACAAGAGACAGAAGGCTATGGATGAATATGACTAACAAAGCCATGGTTAGTTGCGTATCCTTTACAGGACGTTGCAGAACCAACCCTAACAGCCCCTGGCTGTTGTGTAGTTTTTCTAGGCAAATTAACGTCCAGTAGTTTGCCATTGCTTTCTGGATGGTCGGCTTTCTTGATACCATGGTCGAAACCAACGCACGGCCCATGGCCCGCAGCTGGGATCTAAAACGGCATCCCAGCATTACAAAGAATTCGCATCGACTTAGCCACAGTGCCGACAACAAAGCTATGAGGTATGGCAAATTATCTGTGTCAGAACTAATCGAAAGTACAGGAGACAGAAGGCTATGGATAAATATGACTACCAACGCCACAAGGTAAGGGAGATCAACTATGCCTGCACTGAAAGTATACGAGATAGAAAGTTGTACACATATATGTCTAACAATGCCACAAGGAAAAGACACTTTAATATATGAATGCGCAATTGTACAGTTACTTACCCTTAATCTATTTCTTTTATTTTTCTCTTCCCATCCTCGAGTCTCGTATGAAATATCCTCCAATTTCTGTTCAATCACATTTATCCTTTTAATATGAAAGCAAGAATTATGGTAAAATGTGTTCCTGTATATATATTATAAACATATGTATCAGTGTATGTTCTCGTTATACAACATGAGAATCCCAGATAACAATTGCCTTGTTCTAGGAGATTTCAACAGCTGCTCTCCAAGCTGGGGATATTCACAGCTCAACGAGAGAGGAGAAGAAGTGGAGGACTGGCAGAAATATGCCAGGCTCCAGCTAATCAACAAACCAGATGACTCCCCATCTTTTTTCTCCAGGAGATGGCTTTCAACCAGCCCCCAGACTTAACATTTGCCACGTTAGACTTGGCAAGCAACATACACAAAACGGTGCTCAGCCAACTAGCAGGTAGTGACCACCGACCGATCCTGATTTCTGTTCTAAATATGAGAGGCCTTAAGTCGATGCCGCCCCCTCGTTGGAATTACAAAAAAGCTGATTGGAACAGTTTTGCTACCCTTGCTGATGTATACTCGATAAATGTAAACGGCAAATCAAGTCAGGTTGCTAAATCAGTAAAAGAGTTTACAGAAGCTATATTAAAAGCAGCCAAAGAAACCATACCTCGGGGTTCAAGGAAAGATTACATCCTGTTTTGGTCCCAACAAATTCAAGACCTCCACCAAACTCTCTCAGAAGCAAGAGATAGAGTAGAAAGCAACCCAACGGTAGAAAACAACATTGCTTACAAAGCAGCAGAAGCTAAACTAAAAAAGAAACAATCCAAGCAACTAGGAAGAGCTGGCATGACAAAACCAAAAGCCTAAGTTTTGAAAAAGGGGTCCAAACTCTGGAAACTAGTCAAGTGTCTAAATGGAGAAGCCCAACAAGCCAATCCAGTAGTAATAAATGAGGGCAATGAGATCAGATCTGGAAACGATGCTGCAAATATCCTTTTAAATCAGTTTAAATCTGTTAGTGATATTAATATAGAAAAGTCCAGAGAAGATGAGGTAGTACAAAGAATTAAAGAACTGGAGGAGGCCAGCAAGAGTAAACCAGCAGAGAACATCATGACAGATAAATTCTCAATGAGTGAACTTAACACAGGACTCAACCAGCTGAAATCCAACCAAGCCCCTGGCCCCGATAAAATCACGAATGATATGTTACTACACATGGGTCCAAGTGCCAAAAATAAATTATTAAACATCTTTAATGCCAGCTGGATTTTTAGTATAGTTCCTCCAGCCTGGAGGAAGTCTGAAATCTTCGTAATCCTGAAACAAGGAAAGCCGAAGAACAACGCAGACAGCTACAGACCCATCAGCCTCACTAGCTGTCTGTGCAAACTATTTGAAAGATTATTGAACAACCGACTGACCTGGTTCCTAGAGAAAAACGTCAAACTAATGGAGGAACAGGCAGGTTTTCGACGTTGTAGATCAACAGAAGACCAAATTACATTTATTGCTCAACACATTGAAGATGCATTCCAGGAAAAAAAGCACACTATTGCAGTTTGGGTGGATATGGAAAAGGCCTTCGACAAAGTGTGGAAAAATGGGCTGAAACAAAAGCTACTTGAAAGTGGAATATCCCATCACATGCTTGGGTGGATCGTAAAATATCTTGAAAATCGATCTGCAAGAGTCAAGATACAGGGTTCAAGGAGCAGATCTGTCACAATGAAACATGGAGTTCCACAAGGCGGATTTCTGTCCCCAGTTCTTTTCCTAGTTTACATTCTTCTTCTTCTTCTTTTGTCAAAATCTGCTTGCGCCGCTAGGCGTCGCAGTCTATCAAATGATCGGCAACCGAGCCAGGGCGCGCTCAGTTGCTTCATATGCCGTGATGTTATGAAGTCTCAAGTTGTCTGTGACTCCTTCAATCCATATTTTTCTTGGTCTTCCCCTGCCTCTTGGTGTTTCGATTTTCATGTTGTATGCTCTTGATGCTGGCATCGTTGGTTCCATTCTCATTAGGTGACCAAACCATTTCATTCTTTGCTTCTCAATAAATTTAACGATGGGTATGGTTCCAATAGTTCTTGTAATCACATCGTTTCTCACTCGATCTCTTCTGGTTTTATTCGCAGCCATTCTCAAACATCTCATTTCACAGGTGGTTAGTCTTCTCTCGTGTTCTTTTGTTAATGTCCAAGTCTGACATTGATAACCTAATGTCGGTATAAAGATTGTATTTATAATTTGTCTTTTTATCTCAGCTGGGACAGCAGGGTGTTTTAAAATTGGGGCAAGCTGGTATGCAACATTGTTGGCTTGTTGGATTCTTGCTTCGATCTCTCTGTCTATTTTACCATTGAATGTAAAGATACTTCCCAAGTATTTAAATTCTTGCACTTGTTTTAGGCTGTGATCTAGAATCTTTATGTCGATGGTCTGTTGCTTTCTACTTATGCTCATGACTTCTGTGTTTACATTAATGTTTACATTAACGACATAAAATCAACCCTCTGTAATGCAAAAACCCCAGAAGGCTAGATGAAAGAGAACCTGTTTTATTAAGAATGCAAATGCCAAGCTCACTGTCCTTAAACACCCTCCCATAATACCAAATGTTCCACTTAAACCTTACAACGACTGCCCCCCTTGGCTTAGGGATAGCCTACCAACAGTCAGAACCCCTGTAACAGGGATCTCCTCCAAATCATCAATGAGCAGCATTGATATGAAATCAACTACAGAAAGAGAGATCAATAGACTTTATCCAAACCAGAGTTGGATTCGAGTGTATACAGATGGTTCAGCCAAGAGAGCAGTAAGAGACGGAAGAGAGGGAATATACATAAAATCCCTAAATGGTTAAAAAATCAACCAGGCTGTACCAACAAGTTCATATTCCTCCAATTACAGAGCAGAGGCAGAAGCACTTCTAGTGGCATGTTCTTTCCTGAATGGACAACACCACAGCAAATATAGCAGAGTGGTTTTTTTGACTGATGCTATGTCAGTTCTACAAGCAATTGTTAACCCAAAAGACACTCAGTTTGTAGACTTGACGCAACAGCTGATTTACTTAGGCTCTTTAGTAGAACAATCTGTACTGCAGTGGATTCCAGGTCACTGTGGCTTGGAAGGCAATGAAATAGCGGACAGATTGGCCAAAAGCGGCAGTGACATGGTACAACCAAATAGCGACTTAACCCACCAAGAGATGAAAACATTAATACAATCTAGTATCCAAGAAAGGTGGCTGGATACCCACAAAAGATTTTCTCCCCAAGACTCACTTCATCGCCTCTCTAGAGAGGGAGAGTGTATCATATTCAGACTAAGGACTGGGCACAACAGATTTTGTCAACATATGTTCAAATTTTTCGGTGTAGGAAATACGGAGACGTGTCCCTGCAGCGTGGCACCCGAAAAAGCTGAGCATGTGCTCCAACACTGTCAACTGTATGCTGACAACAGAGACGCAATCTGGCCTGTTCCAACCACACTGAAGACAAAACTGTATGGTACACGAGAGGATATGGATTGCACGATAGCTTTCATAAAGGCTACCGGCCTCCTGATATAAGTTTTCTGACAGAAGGATCGAAGAAGAAGAAGAAGAAGTGTATGTTCAAAAGTGCAGTGACCAATAAACTTATTTGACAGCCCAGTGGTCACAGATTTGAATCCCCAGTGAGAAAGATTTTCAAAATTAACTTATGCTTATGGATATAAGGTGGTTTCAAATGAAAACCTTATAAGCGTAATATAAATTACAAAGACCATGCCACTGTCTCGTAGCTTATCAATACTGTTGTTAAGGATATCAAGAGTGTTAAGCCTGTCACATAACAGTGCAGGTGAACCTGGTGACAAAATAATGACAGTTTAAAGATGTCTTCTTTGGTGTATGTCAAAAGTGGGGCAGCCATCTTTAAACTGTCATTATGAAGTCACTGTGTTCATCTGCAGCATGATACCATGTGCTTAATACTCCTGACATCCTTAACAACAATACTGAAATTACAATGCAATGGCATTATTGTAATTTGTATAAAAATGTTTAAGATTTTCTTTAAAGCCCCTTCTTAGATCCAGCCTAGAATGTGTACCAGAAAGTGTCTAGGAATTAACAGCTGCCTGTGTTATGCTAACCACATTATCTATCAGGTACTGATTGATGAGGCAGCCACTGTGGTGTAGCGGCTAGCAGCTCGCCTGTGGATCCGTGGGTCATGGGTTAAAATCCTTGGTGTCCAGGTTGACACAGCCTTAAATGGGTACCAAATAAAGTCCTGGGAAGTAAAGGTGGCCGGCATGATGTTGACCACATCACCCACCAAGTGCCAAATAGTCTATAAAATTTAGGTCAAGCCCTATATGCAAAATACACATAAAAGTGTAGAAAATGTTTCTTTCTGTTTTTAAGTTTACTGATTGACAAACAAGAAAATTAATGCTGTGGCTAGAAAGGCTTAATTAGCACATCACACAAAAAAAGACAATGGTACTTCTTCTCCTTTTTCTGCTTCTTCTTCTTCACATTCACCTGATGTACTTCTCCCACTTCTGTTTTTCTCATCACCGGCTGTGAGCTCTGGCCGAAAGTCCTGGTTGTTCATCCAATTGGACTTTGGCTTTGTAATAGTGCCTGAGTTTTGTGTGTACATCTAGTTTACTGGCAGTTGGTTGTTCCTTGATGTTTGGGCAGATGCACTCCGACTTCGAAGGAAGCACCCCAGTTAGTCAACTCCATTGACATGCTTGTTGCAGAGAAAGTGGGACTAACCCCCCCCCCCCCCCCCCACTCCAACAATAGAGCCCCGGAACCCACATGGGTAATCTGCTGTACACTCTGGTGGAAAGTTGTAGTTATCTGTTAACTTTTGGACACTTTTCCTCTTCCAGAAAATAAGAAGTGTGCACATATGTTTTACAGATCTGTACTATTTGTATGCAGACAGTTGGTCCCTTGCCCCTCAGGCAAACCACTTTGTGTTGATTTCCCCTACGGTAATAAGAGCAGAATGTTGAGAGAGCAATAGCAAACTACTGAATGTAAATTTACCTAGAAAAATCACAAACAGCCAAAAACTGTTGGGATTGGTTTTACAACATCCTACACAGTATTCACAACTGATTAAACCAAAGGAATGTGTACACCACTCACTGATAGGCTAAAATGGCTTCTTGTGATGTCATCTGGGGCTCTTTTGTTGCTCCCTTTTTCCCTTTCTTTCCTTTCCTGCTGCTCTTCCCTTTCTTCCCACTTTTCCCTTTCTTGCCTTTCTTCCCTGCCATTGCCACTTGTCAGTTTATTCTGTTAATCAACATAATGAAATATTACATGGTGGAGAGTGACATTCACAAATATCACATGAAACAAACATGATTTCACATTATTATTCTTATCGTTACAGATTCGAATTTATTTAGCTTCAAACATGACTTGTTTATGCTGCATCAGCAATAGTCACCTCAATTTCCACACCTGGTTTGATGCTGATTGATGTGATCTGCTTAACCATCTCAGAGGGACTGTGCAGGTCAATGATACACCTGTGGATTCTAAACTGGCATCTGTCTTAAGTATTAAAACCTTCACCACAGATCTTTTTAGGTGACAGACATCGTAACTCACAACAAACCATACAGGAAAATTAGTAATCATGGAAACGAGATATCCGAGAAGAGCTGCAGGAGTGGCCAGAATAGATCTATAAATCACAAACTTTTTCTATATTTTGTGGTTCATTATAAATGAACTGTTAACTCCTCCAAGACTGTGACAAACACCCTGGTTAAATTTTAAGTTGATGAATATGCCATCCTCCTCGTTTAGAAATGTATATTTCAAGAGGAGTGAGACAAATATTCCAAAGAGGCTAGGAGCAAGTACACAACCTTGCTTTACTCCACTCTTGATCTTAAACTCATCTGATGCTGCCTCGTCAAATTGTATGGTGCCTTTCATGCCAGTGTGGAATGACTCGATGATGCTCAGTAGGGTCAATCTTTTCGAGCGTTTTGAACAGCCCATCACAATTGAGATCAATAAAAGCAATATATAGTGGTTGATTTGAAGGCATAGAATCAGTTCTAAATTACTTACAAAGATGGTAAATAAAATGGTTAGGCCACCTATAAGGAATGCCTTATGATTCCATGCAATACAATGCATATGCTAAAAGAAAGGGACGTAGAGTATGAGGCAGACCATGAACAAAATAGAATGATAACATCAGAGACACACTACAAGAGCATGATGTATCTATTGTCGAGGCAGCCAGAAAACCAAGAAGCAGAACCTTACTATCTCCCTTGACATATTAAGTGTTAAAAAAGGAAATGAAGAAGAATAGGAAATAGAAGAAGCATCTGTCTAACTCTTTTGTCTTGGACAGTTTTTAAACTTTTAATTAATAACCTTTATTTTCCAGGACACTACCCTGTACCCATTTTAGACTGTACTGATTGGTAGGCACGTAAATACTAAGAAAATAATCTGACTGCCTGCAGATTCTAACCCAAAAGCTTTGGGCCGGCAGGCAAGTGGCTAAATAAAATAATTATGTTACAATAATATAATAAATTGTGGGAGAAGTCTTATATGGCTATACAACAATAATAAAATAATGCGTTTAAAAGTAGCAATCATAAGAAACTGATGGGTTAAATTAACTATTTTCTGATGTACGAAAGTTTAGAAGCTGCCTAAAGGTGACAGGATTGACTTAATTCCACAAGCCTTTATCCCATATGCTGCCATCTCTTCGGGTCAACAGGAGAGCCTCTAGCTGCATCATCATCATCAATTTCCACTTCTGCTGTTAAGTGTTGTAGGAAGAACAGTATGTGATCCATTGTTTGATGGGCAGCATTGGCTATTGTCAGTCCCTGTCGATGTAGAAGTTCCTTAATGTCATCAATCCATGTTCTCCTAGGGTGGCCTCTTTCTTCTGCGTCTATTCTATGAATTTTTTAATCAAAAGTGTTAAATATTTAGTTTAAAGAATCAACAATATAAGAGTTAAACTAACAAGCCGTATACAGTAGGTTAATATAGCAATTATCTGTTTCAGACAAATACAAGAGAAGTATGCTGGCTTAGGAATGTCTAAGAAATGCATAGTGGGTTGCTTCATAAGGAAAAAGTTTAATTTAAATTAAAATTAAATTTCTAATACTAGTGTTAAATTTCACAACAATAGACGTTTTAATCAAGATTAACTAACAGGGAAAACAGATTACCTGTAGGAAGCAAAAAAATGTACATTGTATGGGCACATAGTAAGAAGGGAAGCTAGATGTTGTCAAGGCCCTATGGAAGTGAGTTAACGATGGAGATGCTCAACTGGATCATCAAGATCTGAAGAGAATGATGCAACCGGGAGCGACCAGGAGATCTGGCCCTACACTTACAGAAAAGGCAAGAGGGACACACAATCAGTAGCCTCTAGTACCAATGGAGTTAGAACTCCTAGCTGGCTGCTAAAGATGGGGAGTAGAGCTGATGGTAAAATTGCCAGTGTTGTGATATATTTTATATCAGTTCTTGACACTCAAGTCAAATCACTCGTGACGAGGGTAAAATGAAATATTTCCTGGAGAAGAAACAAAAGGGGAGGGGCGGCAACGTCAAAAAGAGAAAAGATATTGTCTAATGAGGCATCAAGATATGGAGAAATGTGTGAATTATAAATCACTGGAAGTTTAAGAAGTTGTGACAAGGACTGAAAGTTATTTGTTTTTGTATTTATTTATTTGTGTAAAAATAAACACTTGGTGTCATTAACTGGAAAGAGAAGGCCAGCCAGAAAGATGAGTGGAGGCGGGTGATATCTGCAGCAATGAATCTCAAGGACTCGGAATGCTGCAGTGGAAGAAGAATTCAATTTGTGTAAACAAATTAACGAGGACAGCTGAAACCTGCTTCTTTATGCATTCAGATGTATTAGGATGTGTCAGTAATTTGTTTGAATTTACCTCTCATGTTATTTCGCAGATAATTACAATCTTAGAATAGTATAGCAGAGATTAAAAATTAATTGTGAAATAACATCACTATTATCTGGAAACAACAAATCCCGTGGTAGCCATGTTTGTTTATCTAGACAACGGAAAGCAAAGCTACGGCTGCTTTGAAGTTTCGACGTTTTTCATTTACAAATGGCACATGTTGCTTTACTAATCCATACATTTATTATTATTATCAACCTATGTTTTGTACATGAATTTTATAATTATTCACCCCTGTCCGGTCCCGACGTCAGATTCCTTAGTAACCGCTGAGGTCACCAATATAACCCTGTCTTTGAAAGGGACCTCCCGGTAATTACAAGATATAAAATTCGGTGATTTCGTAATATCCTACCCACAATAAGAGAAATCTACAGGAACAGACTCCCAGAGTATGCTTCGCAAAATTGAAACTGGTGTCCTGCGGGCAGAATAACGTGCCTCACTTGATATGATCTAGATCTAGAGCATATCATGGATTTTCTGTCCCATATATTTTAGATGTGCGAGGTAACGAGCAGGTTGATATATAAGCTGCTGCCTCTCCTCTGGGCGATGAGCTACTATATGATGAAGCAGGTGTGGTGAAGGCTCTGTTGGATCAAATGGACAGTGCAAAAGAACAGATAGGGAATGGATACACTGAAGAACTTATTCTCGTGGAGGGAGTAGAGATTCTTGAAGATTTTCAGCATGGGGGGGGGGGGGGGGGGGGGGGGAACGAACTTTTATTCAGGTTGCAACTAATATTATTAGCATGTCAACTCTTTGTTAGTTACCGAAGAAGGGGGCGGAGCACGTATACAAATGTCTATAGTACAGTGATGTCAATTCTTGATTGATTTATTCACTGTGAATTACTCTTCCCAAAAAAGAAAGAAAAATCAATGCTGCGAATATTGATACCACAAATGATATTTACTATGCTGTTATCATTAGGGTAAAGGATGCGAAACATAAATTGCAACAAGCAGCGAAGGCAGTTGCAACGAAATGCCAAAAACGACTCAATGCACTCAAGATTATGGGCACATTGGACGTTAACAAAGAATGCTTTTCATAATGTTCCAGCGTGTGATTCTCTCAGAGGTGTTGAACTTTGAATGCTTAACGTATCAAAAAGTCAGCTGATAACACGTGAACGCATATGGAATGGAGTTTTGAGAGTAATTCAGTGATATACAAGAGATACCCCTGTAGTATGTATAAGCGCTGCCATCTATTACAGATATGCTCAAAGCGCTGCAAGCATAGCCATACACAAAGCAGACAAGAAGCAGCTCCTACATGGAACTCTAAACAGAGTTATGGGTCACAGATTAAAAAGAGGAATGTCTTGGGTAGCGCAACCTGTTTACTTTCAGACATGTGTACAAACTTAATAATACTGGGTGAGGAGAGAAGTGAGTAAAGGTCCCGAGCAACAATAAGATTTATGTAGGCTTCTAATCGCAGTGGGCCGCTAGTGCAAGGACTGACAGCCTTGGAACAATCACCAGAATGACCCATCAACTAGAAGAAGAAGAAAGCGTGCTTCTTCTCCTTCTTCTTTTGTAGTCTCACTGATACCAGATTGTAGCACAATGTCGTGGTTTTTCCCCTCACTGATACCAGATTGTAACACAATGTCGTGGTTTTGTTGTCTCACTGATACCAGGCTGTAGCACAATGTCGTGGTTTTGTTGTCTCACTGATACCAGATTGTAACACAATGTCGTGGTTTTGTTTTTTCACTGATACCAAATTGTAGCACAATGTCGTGATTTTGTTTTCTCACTGATACCAGATTGTAACACAATGTCGTGGTTTTGTTGTCTCACTGATACCAGATTGTAGCACAATGTCGTGGTTTTGTTTTCTCACTGATGCCAGATTGTAACACAATGTCTTGGTTTTGTTGGCTCACTGATACCAGATTGTAGCACAATGTCGTGGTTTTGTTTTCTCACTGATACCAGATTGCAGCACAATGTCGTGGTTTTGTTGTCTCAATGATACCAGATTGTAACACAATGTCGTGGTTTTGTTTTCTCACTGATACCCAATTGTAGCACAATGTCGTGGTTTTGTTTTCTCACTGATACCAGATTGTAGCACAATGTCGTGGTTTTGTTTTCTCACTGATACCAGATTGTAGCACAATGTCGTTGTTTTGTTTTCTCACTGTTACCAGATTGTAGCACAATGTCGTGGTTTTGTTGTCTCACTGATACCAGATTGTAGCACAACGTCGTGGTTTTGTTTTCTCACTGATGCCAGATTGTAACACAATGTCGTGGTTT